TTTTAATGAAGATGGAAACACTGACAGAGAAATAATATAATAGCCAATGCTCGGCGAGAGGTTTCCGTTTATACAATTTTGTTGTTGTCCTCGACTTGATTTTTATTCTATTTCCTCGTCTCCATAGTTACTATTTGCAAATAATCAATAATTTTGTAGGTCCATTTTATTGTTGTTCTTTCTACGCGCCGTTATAACACATTTTCATCTCATCATTTAATTTATGATGTGCATATATTGTTGTATAAAGATATTTTAAAGTGATTCATCATAGAAAACGAATAGCTGAATAGATAAACCGATATGTGTGGCGCCATCTAGTGTACCTAAATTCATCTATAATTTTTCATAAAAGTGATCCGAAAAACGGAGCTAACTCGGCAACCCGTGGCCCGATTTTAACGAAACTTGTTTTATTCTATTTTTATTCTCATGTCATTACAACTATGGCAGTATTGTGTGCCCTTTTTACTGTATTTAATCACAGACAAGCCCACGAACAAACAATCTCAGAGTTTTAGTAGTATATAGATTACACTCTGACATATCCTACAAGTAATAAAACATTATACTGAAATGAGACTGACTCATATTTCTTAATTTAGGTAACTGAAAACAAATAAGGTTTAAATTCAGAATGAGTGAGTAAATAATCAAATTAAACAAAACCTAGCCGTGATCAAACAGAAAGATTTTCTTGGAGACAACTTCTATAAAATTTTGCACGATATATCACCCAGGTATGTGTCTGTAAAGGAACAAATCTTAAAGAGATCATATAACAAAAACCAACGTTACGTAAAAAGGAAAGCATATTCGAACAGGACTCGTAGTCTCCGCTTGTAGTAAATAAATAATATATTAATACGTATTTCTATCGATGGTATTAACCATGTACCATGTTGTCTAATGAAATTTCCCGCATAGCTACTCGAGAGTACCTGCGCTAGTCGTCCCTAAATTTGGAGTGATATATGACTAAACTTTCTAAACATGTTGACTATGGTTTTTAATATATTAAATTATTTTGAGAATTTTCAACAAAAATGTTTAAAAATGTTCTAAGGAAAAATAGAACTAAAACAGCTGGTAACTGCTTAAATTCATTATTTTATCCCTGATTCGTCCAAAGTCATCATCTTGACCTCTGGTTACGTCCAAAGTGACCTTGAAGAAACAGACTGGAAGTGCAACAACAATACTGGTAACATTTAAAACTGACTTTGACTTTGATAAGTAAAAAAAGGACAAAGTTTAGAATATTACTACTTATTTTGTTAACTTACAAGGCATTAAGATTCAAATTGATTTTGCCTTAACTAGTAGAGGATTAGTATAAAAGAAAGATCAGAAAAACCTACAAGTATCGTTTAACCCCAAACATTTTAAAGATATCAAATACGTTAGGAACACAGAGTGTCATAAGTTGTCGAAACAACACTATGTTTTGAAATACTGTTAAAACACAAAATAACATAGTGTCTAATTTGTTGAAAAAAATTCGTTTTAAAATACTGTTGAAACAAAAAATATAGTGTCATAAATTGTTGAAACAATGCAATGTTTGGAAATATTGTTAAAACATCAAAGAATATTGTGTCATGAATTGTTGAAAAAGGGTAATGTTTTGAAATACTGTTAAAATTTTCATTTATTGTGGAAATATGATCACTTTTCCATACAATGTTAAAATTGTTGTACCTTATACTATCGAATACTATAATTGTTCCATCTGTTGTTATAAAAAGAATATTGTTCTTTCAATGTTAGTAAAAAAAAAAAGATACATTTCCATCTACTTCGGAAATAAATGTATTTGTTAATGTCTCATCAAATATTTACATATGACCATATCTTATTACGTAATATTATTACACATATTTTATTGAATATATTGTAAAATAAAGAAATGAAATGCCTCATTACAAGAGAACTCATTATATTACTGTATTTTATCGTTGTGTTATTAATTTTTCATTACTTTTCGGTTAATAACTAGAAATCTTTACTCACAATTGAAAAAAAGTTCTCTCCCTCGGAAGGCTGCTGGTCCTTGTACAAATGACAGTGTAGATGTCCGTTAGTTTCTACGTAGGCATTACTAAGAGTAAATATACAAAATTATTTCTTTTAATTTCACTTGTTGTCAGAAGTGATATTCAACTTTTTTGGGTGTTACGTGTTGGCGTGTCCAGAAAGGGGAGAGGAGTCTCCTGTACAACATATGACTGTTTCTTTAGAACAGGAGGACTCGTTTTATGTCTGATACGTCCTAGCGTTTTTACAATAGAAATAGTTCTTAAGTATAATGGGTACTGGTGCATCCAATATAAGAGAAATTTGTCAAATATGTCAGTGAAGTGTTTGTTTCATTATTGAATTTCGCAAAAGCTACTCGAAGTCTATCTGCGCTACACGTCTATAATTTTAAAGGGAAGGCAGTCAACATCACTCATTGCCAACTCTTGGACTACTCTTTACCAACGAATAATGGGATTAACCGTCGCATTATAACACCCCACTAGGCCATATTTGGCTCTAAGACAAGAGTCTTATTTCTTACAAATACTGTCGTGTTCATGATGGGTTTTGTTAAATTTCGCTGAATTCTACGTGAGGGTTCTCTGCTGTAACCGCCTCTAAGGGAGGTGGAGCTGGACCTATTATACCACAGTATAAGTTAGCAGCTCCTTTTGAAGGATCTGAGATAACCAAGTATACGTTATTAGATCCTTCTAAAGCAAAACCTCGAGTTGTTTTGTACAATAGTGGTTATAATAATTTCTTTGTTTGAAGGTAAGCACGAAGCTACACAATGGGCTATCCGTAATCTGCCAACCACGGGTATTGAAATCCGATTTCTAGCGTTGTAAGTCCGCCGACATACCGCTGTGCCACTGGGGGAAAGTAAGAATATTTCCTTCAATGTTATCACTTATTTCCTGGAAGTCTATTTTATATAAAGTCAGAGCACTGACTGGGCTTCAAAGTTTACTAAAATCATGCCACGGCACTAACTGGACTTCAATGTTCACTAACATCATGTCACAGCTCTGTCTGGACTTCAAAGTTCACTAAAATCATCTCACACCACTGACTGGACTTCAACGTTCACTAAAATCATTTCACAGCACTCACTGGACTTCACGTTCACTGAAACATCTCACAGCACTGTCTGGACTTCAACGTTCACTAAAATCATTTCACAGCACTCACTGTACTTCACGTTCACTGAAACATCTCACAGCACTGTCTGGACTTCAACGTTCACTAAACTCATGTCGCAGCACTGTCTGGACTTCAACGTTCACTAAAATCATCTCACAGCACTGACTGAACTTCAACGCTAACTAAAATCATTTCACAGCACTCACTGGACTTCACGTTCACTAAACTCATGTCACAGCACTGACTGGACTTCAACGTTCACTGTCACGACACTGACTAGACTTCACATTCAGTAAAATCATCTCACAGCACTGTCTTGACTTCAACGTTCACTAAAATCATGTCACAGCACTGAATGGACTTCAAGTTCACTATAAACATGTCACGGCACTGTCTGGACTTCAGCGTTCACTAATATCATGAATGTGTTATCAAATTTGAATTTAAAAATCTATTTCTAAAGTAAAATAAGCAAAAAAGAAAAACTAATATTATTTTTATTATGCTAGGAAGACGCTCACGTTATAGAAAAGTGTAAGAAATGATTAAGTTATCAAATTCTGTCACACCTCTAAGTGTACGGAACCACTATTTCCTGTCATGGGCATCCGATCCGGAATAGGGATGTTTGGTTTCTAAGTTCTCAAACTCAACACTTCATATAGCTACAGGGAACCTCTGGAGCCAGCGAAGTACTGCAATTAACATATTAAAACAAGGTAAGAAGTCAGTCTTGTTCTCTAGATGTCTTCTTTAAACTAATAAGCTTACATACATACATTAATGTATTTATATGATTCTTCAGAAATATAAAAGAGTTTCTATTCGCAAGAGTTTTAGATTCTGGGTCTTTTGAAATCTACTTGGTTTATTCGGTATTATTTTTTGCTAATTTTTTCATCATTACTGTTTCTATGTATAGTATAATTTCAAATAAATTGGCGTATTTCTTACAAAATTTATCTTTGCCAATTCTCCATGTTGTAGGAACGTCTCCCTTTCATTTTTTGTTGTTCATCTAGCAAACAACAGAGAACTTTCACTAAAAGTAAAAACAACAATGTGTTTATAGTTATGAGGGCTTACTTTAGATGGCAGTGTCTTATAGAAATAGATTAATACAACTAAAAGAAATAGAAAGGCTGTAACTTAGGACAAAAATACCCTAAAAGTAAAAATAAAAACCATGCAAGTGGTACTTTAAAACTGAAGTGAAGCGCCATATGCAAGTTTGTTTGTTTTGGAATTTCGCGCAAAGCTACACGAGGGCTATCTGCGCTAGCCGTCCCTAAATTAGCAGTGTAAGACTAGAGGGAAGGC